GAGGAGGGAGGCACACAGGGGAGGGGAGGGGGGGGAGGCGAAGCAGAGAAGACTTGCCAATGGCGTATGTATATACCTAACATTACATAAAAATCTATTATGATGTTTTATACAGCGAAGAGCAGAACGAAAGCAAAAAACAGATCTTTAGTCAATAAAATTTTCTATATACATATCCAGCTGAGAAGAATGTAATACGAATAAAAAAAAGGTATAAATTCCGGCACATTCATACTAAAAGAATTATTTAACGTTCTTTTATTCCCATTGCAATAACATTACTTAAAGCCAAAATGAGAAGTATATTTCAGGCAGAATGCAAAAAACACTTCGTTTACCAATCGAAAATTAGAGATGTGTACAGTTAATCTACCCTGCACATCTTTAGAGCAGATGATCGTTTATTTTTCTCAAAACTAAGTTATATCAAAGTACTGAACTAATTAATGATGCTTAAAGCGATAGTGATATATACCCTTCTAATTTACAAGTTCTTATGAAAATCACCGAATCCACGAAAATTAGACCTTAAGACAAAAACTCATACTTCATGCTTTCTAAGTATGATCTTTAATCAACTCTTTATTAACAATGCTTTGAGAAATTAGCATAATAATAATTTTTAATTCCTATGCAAGCATCTACGAAACTATGTTTTTTTTAATCTCAAAATTTAGGAAAATATAATTCACATGATTCAAATAAATATTTTTCAAGGTCGTTGAGTATCAATTATCGATTAACAATATCAAATAATAGTAGTAATATTATTGCTGTCAATACCATGTAAGATTTATTGTACGATATAGAATGACTGGATTTTCTAATTACTCACTTAGTATAGAATACAATAATATGGATATTTAAACATAGATAATGTAGGAAGTGTCAAGGTTATTCTTTGTTATTTTTGTTTTAAATAAATAGAAATAGTAAAATTTTTCAAAGTTCTCATGATTTTTACATTTATATTCTTTTGTTAATTGAAATTATTCATAGTTGCTATGTTTTTTAAATCTAAATATAAACAAAAAGTTTATTGACTGTATTGATTCAACAGAAACCAATATGAAATCTATGAAGGAAATTTCTGACTATTACTTTAGATGAAATATGATTCTCAAAAAAATGAATCAATAATTTTGTTGATCAGCATAATAATTTCAAATATAAATTATTTGAATAGTAAATGGACGTAATTGATCGATATAAAATCAAAATACTATACACCGCATGCAACCAACGAATACTGATCGCGATCACTAGATGTCAGGTATAATAAATAAGTATCAAATCAATCTTTTTTGTCATAAAACAGAACATACATAAAATCAAATCAGTGGTTTTTTTTGTCTTCTTTTTCTTTTGCTCTCTTATCGTTTATAAATGGTTGAGTAACTTTTCATTTTTTTTTTAAATATGTTTCGAATATTACTTATTTGTATTGCGTTTGTTAAGCATTCTTCGGTTAAAGGTAAATAAAAGCATTAAATTTAAATATAATTATATATTTAATGAGCAGGTGTTGTGATTGAATATCCTGCTGATGAGCATATTGAAGAGCGTATAAGGAAAGATTTCGATTCAATCAATCCAATCTTTCGGTATTATATCATTCCGCGTGAAATTCAGTTTCACATAAATGCAATTAAAAATGGTTTACCGTTTTTTTTACGATGCAAAGGATCGCAGAAATCAATTAATTTTACTGTTCCAATATCTGCAATTAAAGTAGGTCATGACTAAATCTTAACAAATGATCCCTCAAATTTCGTTGGAAATCTGCCACACTGTTGAATTTCTTTAAATATTTATAGCATGATAGACAACAATATTTTGCATCTTCTGATATGTGTGGGGGGAGAGCGGGGGGGAGGGGTGAGAAGGAGGATTCAATTTCTATCAGTGATGGAATGCCGATGCAGCCCGTCAACTTGTGCATTGAAGATACCTGCATATTCAAAAATTGGATCGAATGAATATTTTATCTTCATAAAAATTTTTTCATATTGAATATTGCAGATACACTCTAAAAAAAGGCTTTCTCCGAAGCTCTATTTTGGCCGGTTTTCGAGAAAATCTTATTTTAGAGTGTAGATGCACTTTTCTTCGCTTTATAAAATGCATGTAAAAACTTGATAAGTTCTCTTTTTCTATTGTTAAGTACACGGGTCAGAATGTGGTAAAAACGACAGTACTGCACCTACTCCTTGATGGTGTGATCACTTTTTCTTTGTAACAATAGATTATACATTTGTGAGTCATCAAAAATCTTACATTGTCTCCAGGCTAGGCGAGCTGGTATAACTTGGCGGATTTCTGAAATGTAACCATTTTATGTTGATATTAACCCGAACTATTGAACAAATGATTAATCGAGGTATCTTTCTCGAAATATTCTCTATATTTTTTGTGACTAAAAAGTGATATTTACTCGAAATTTCCACTACAATATTGCATAAGTATAACTTCTCGTACCCACACCCACACCCATTACATTCATACTTGTGCTCCACATGTTTCGTTAGTGTATAGTGTAAATGCATCATTTTCATTATTTTTATTTAGAAAAAACGAAATAATAACATTAGTACACACAACGAATAAAAATTGCAATCTATATTTCAAACATTGGCAATTGTCTTTAAAGTTACTCTATCTCATTTTTAGAGTACTGTACGAACGTTAATTTTAGTATCTGTATCCTAATTATATTAGTATCTTTCATACGCTTACCGTAATCTTGCCCGTGTCCAATTATTGGTGTGAGTAGGCGACCCTTTAATGTCAGTACTCTAATCTCCATCGTAGAAAAAAAAAGAATGTGAAATTTAACAGATCACACAATACAAATATGCTTATTGTGATAGCAGCAGAAAGTTTTTCTACATAAGTCAATGTTCTTTTCAGTTTCAACTTGCGATGAAAAGATTTAGCATTTGATAAACAAATAAAGCTTCTTTTAGGATTTATCTCTAACTACCGATGACAAAACTCATACAATCACTGCTAAATTAGAAAGAAATCAGCTCAAGACAAATCTTGTTGGTCGCTATACATGTTCAGAAATAATTAATAATAAAAAACATAAAACAACCGTTCATATATTTATTCAAGGTAAAATATATCTCCTATATTTTCTTGTAAAAACTTCATAATAATTTTTTGTAGATGGACATTCTGTATTTACTAAAAGACTTTATCCAGCTGTATTCAAACAAACGGGTATTCATTTTTTTAATTTACCATGCCAAGCTACTAGTTGGTATCCGAGAATGTCATGTCCAATACCATCCGGTGGGAAACAATGTAAGGTACGTCAATGTAATTTACAAGAACGTAAAATAAATGAACTTGAATGTCATATGCCTATATGTGATGGGCACGAACGATGCATTCCGGTTTATTATACACCGTCAAATTTAACACGAGAGGTCGGATTCTAACATTTTGAAGAATAACTAATTATAGTTTTGTTTTCTTTTTTTTTGTTATATAGAAAGTCTTTTTTGATCCACAAATTGGTTTTGCACTTGAAAATCCAACAATACCGGATACATTAACTTATTTTAATTGTATGAGTAATTATACACCAAGTGAAGAATCTAAAATTCTATTCGATTCATTAAGTCGTATAAGTCAATTTTTTTATATTAATGAAGACTTTTATTTGTGATTTGTTCTTTTTGTTTCTAGCCGATCATGTACAAATTCATCAATCAAGTTTAAGAGTTACGAGTGATGAAATCTTAAGATTAACTTGTGAAATTCGATATGGAAAAAAAATATATAAAAAGACTCCAACACTTTTTTGGTTCGAAAATATTTATAATGTAAAATATTCATTTCGTCAGTAATCAAAATTTTTAAAACTTAATTCTTTTTCTCTTCTTTAGCTTAATTTAATATTAAATCAAACAGAAAAACCAGTATTTGATAGTAAAACACAAGTCTATAGTCGAAATAGTTCAATAGCACTGCAAGGATTTAAACCAAATAACAATTATCGATTTTATTGCGTACGTGTATCTGACCATGGACTTTATTCACATTCTATTGTTATTACTTGTGTTGGTGGTATGTATTATGAACATGTATAAAAATGACAGTTAGGTAGAAATGTATAAAGAAATCCTATAACTGATAAATTCATTCAAGTTGTAACTTCAATTTAATTGTATCAATAGTTCAGTAGAGTTGATTAAACTTTCTGTATGAAATTAATAGATTCGAGATGTCCATTGTGGCCTGAAAAATGCCTCAATAATATAATTGTGAGAGGAATGTGGCACGTTTTCGGCTACGTTAGATATCTCTAGAATGGATCTCAATGTCAGATAGACATTCTCAATTCATCCTGGATATTAGCTTTCTGTTATATCTAAAATCTGACTGTTCTTTTTGTAGCACCTTCGCTTGATCTTAACATCGATTCAAGTGAATCAAATGCTGATAATAAAATTTCCTATGGATCAAATGGTATTTATGATATAACTATTATTAGTATTCCACGTTCGCCTGTTGTATTCGAAATATCACGTAACGGAATTTCATTAATAAATGATAAACGATTTGAGATATTACCTATGTAAGTATATTCAATTTTATTTATACTAAATAACGTACGAGAATTCAATTGAGTTTGAAATACGCAAATTAATTTAAAAGAACTCTCGTGCAGTCTTATGAAGTCTTTGATCTACAGCTTTTGAAATAACATTTGGTTCAAAAACGATGGGACAAATGTTGGTCTCTATGTCTCTTCAATAGAACAGTGCTGAAAGAACAAATTTTTATCAAAAAATAGATTTTTTTCGTCTTTCGAATAATGTATAACTTATATTTATCACATGTCCATAAACGAAACGGTGCAAAAACAAAGAGAAGCCACTCAACAAGTAGTCTGTACTTTTTTTATTAATTTTCTTCAACAAAACAACGTTCGGAAAGAAATATTTTTCGATCATTTGATAAGAAACTTTCTCGTCTTTCGAGCAGCATATGATTTATATTCGTCATACATTCGTAAGTCAAATGAGGCGGAAAAAAAAGAAACGCTCGCACAATAAATTTGAGTTTTTTATATGACATCGTCAAAAACATAGTATAAAACGGCAGTTGATACTGATTAATTGTCGTGTTACACTATGTCTTCTGACAAGTTCATATAAAAATCACAAATTTATTGAGCAAATGTTTTTCTTTTTTCCAGCCTCATTTTAGTTGCTAATGTATGACAAATATATATAATATAATTTTCGAAAGAGGAGAAAATTTTCGTTCAGCTTACAAAAAGAAGTACTATTTCAGCACGTGGTAACTAAAGAGACGTAGAACTTGATATTTTGCATCGTTATTCTACATTATATATAAAATGCAGATCCATATTGAGGATTCTCCTTTTTTCTCTTGCGATATTTCATTTATGAACATGTGATAAAAGTAAGTTATATAAGAGTCGACAGTAGAAAAGTTCTCTTTCAGCACCTTCCTATCGAAGAGAAATAGGGTCCGGCATTTGTCTTATTACTTTTACATCATATGTTACTTATAAATAAAACATCATTTTTTTAAAAATTCTCAATAATCATTCGATGTCTCAGAAATCAGTGACGCAGCCAGGGGGGGATTATGGGGATCGGTCCCCCCCCCCCCCCCCCCCCCACACCCCAAAGCCCGTGGGGGGGGCGGCGGCGCCGCCCTTTTTTCTGGGC